AATTTAGAAACTTCTACACCATTTTTGTGCTAATCTGTTGTAAGCAATCCTCAGTTTTAGCTTTCCCAGCTCGCCTTGTGTGTCGTGCTGTCGTCTGAACTAAACTCTGACATCTGTATGTGTTAAAACAATGAAAACCTTAGTACGAGTAGTTGTACAAACTTTGAACCGTGAAAACAAGCTTCCTTTTTGGGAAACTGTTCATGTGTCCGTATTTCCCTAAAGCAGCTTGAAGGTGAAATATTTCCCTCTCATTTGACCCCTTCAGCTCGCCCAGCGACCTCCCATCCAGGCCTGCAGCTCACTGTGGAGCAGGTGGAGCCCCTGATCTGTAGCAGGCTGGTGAACATCCAGGCAGCCCTCAGGGCAGCAGATCCTAACGGGACAGGTCTGGTGAGCAAAGAGGAGTTCAGACGGGTCCTGAAGAACCTGCTGTCTGTCAGCCAGAACCAGCTCAACTCTGTCATCAGTGAGGTGAGAAAGTTTCTAAAGGTGCACTGTGATGCTGATTTAAAAAGTGACTGCTTCATCAGTTCTTTGAGCGTGAGCAGTCTGTCCACTCTGTGAGGTCTAGAACAGGAACACCAACAGCTGATAAGTGATCAGGAAACATGCTTAGACGTCTTTATTACACAGTGAAGTGACTCCTTCTGAAGCTTAAAGGAAGTTGATTTTGTGTTTGGAAGTCGACTTAGATGACTGTCACAGCAATGTGCAGCAGCAGTTTGATGTGTTGTCCATCTACAAACATCACAGAGTGTTAAAGCTATATGCCTTTAGTTAACTGCATCAAAAACTGTCATTGCTACGAACATTTTTGGGCTTATAATTGTGAGCTACAACTTGGCTTTGGCCTCTAACACTATTAAAAGAATGCAGAATCACATGGAAGCAGCTCTTGTTTGTAACCCCTGACACTGAATCCATACACACCGTGCTCTTACTGACCTGTAGATGGAGGAAATTATTGCTAAAAAATGTGCGCAGTCACTTTAAACTGCCTCTATGAGCAGCGTAAAGTCTGATAAGCGGCCAAACTAAAACAGCTCCAAGTCAGATTATTCATTCATCTTTGAAAAATGTGATGATTTTCAGGTGTTTTTCTCCCTTTCTCCTCACATCCCTACTTTTTCACCTCGACATCTTATCATAACATTGATGTGATTGAAACTGCTGTAAAAATTCACAGCTGTAACTACGACCAAATTTGATGCAACAGAAACGAAGCTCAACAAAGTTACATCTGTTTCTGGTCAGTGTAATACTAAACTGCCTCTTCACTGAATGTGCCATGCTCGGCTAATGACAGACCTGGTCCCGGGACAGGGGTTGAGCATCTAAAAACACTTAAAAGTAATTACTTTAAAACACGGGCTGCAAGGTGGTGCAGTTGGTAGCACTGTTGCCTCGCAGCAAGAAGGTTGCCGGTTCGCGTCCCAGTGGGGGCTTTCTACATGGAGTCTCCATGTTCTCCCCGTGCAGCGTGGGTTCTCTCCGGGTTCTCCGGCTTCCTCCCACAGTCCAGAAACATGTTGAGGTTAATTGGTGATTGTAAATTGTCCGTAGGTGTGAATGTGAGTGTGCTTGGTTGTCTGTCTCTAAGTGTAGCCCTGTGATAGACTGGTTACCTGTCCAGGTGAACCTGCCTTCACCCTGAGTCAGCTGGGATAGACTCCAGCCCCCCATGACCCTAGTGAGGATTAAGCGGTGTATAGATAATGGATGGACTTTAAAACACTTCCAGTTACAGCTGACCTGGACAGCGCTTGTATCTTGGTCAGGATGTGAAAGATGGACCTCCAAAAGGCTGAACTCATTGCTGTCGTGTGCAACATCCTCCAGAAGATGGCAGCAGAAGATCCCTTTTAGCTCTTCCAAGCAGTTGACATTGACAAATGGTGCTCGGTGGCCGTGGAGACTGGTCAGAGGAGAAGTGAATGTGGCAGCTGTTAAAGCAGACGTTATTTGTTTGCACTTCTGTTGTGTTGGCTGGCATCAGTCTTTCCTCTGCTCCAGCCCACTGACTTATTCTACGCTGCGCCTTATTTCATATATTCCTCAACAGCCTGCAGATGTTTACCAAAAACATGAAGGAATAAAAAAAAAGAAAAGAAAAGAAAAAATCTCAGGGATATGAAAACAGCGGCTGTAATATTTCGGTGCAGTTTTAAGTTATTGCTCCACATCCATGAGGCCTAATGAGAGCGCTGAGGCCTCATATCGGGATGCTTCTCCAGTTTGGCATTGATCAATCGAGTGTGTGCGTGTGTGTTGGTGGATTTGGCGTCGGTGCATGGCGGAGTAATTCCCCCTCTCCCTTCATCTTCATCAGTGTGCGCCATGCCTCTGTCACTCTGCTACGGCACTGTAATCGTCTCCACTGTTCCTCTTTGTTCCGTCTCAGCGCTCACGCCTGACAGTTTGACTGCCTGTCTTTCCCACACAGATTTCCTCCCATAATATCAGCACTTTGTGCCCCCCCCCGATGCAAACACACACACAACCCCACATTCCTCCGTCGCCTTCCCTCCCCTCCCTCCCACTCACCGTCATATTCATTAAAGACACTTTGTGGGTGAGTGCGTGTGTGTGCTTTCAGGAGAGTTGTGGAAAGTTTACTTTAAAGGACTATCACTGGAGTAGCAGCTGTTGTTGCCGGTGACATTTTGATGTGGAAGTTGCTTTGTGCTTGAGGGAGCGAGATGCCACCAGCAGCTTGACAACCCCACCCCACCCCTTCTTCTCCTTCTCCTCTGCTTTTTTTTTTTTTTCTTTCCACAAGCAGAGCTGGGGTGAGATCTTTTTCTGTTAAATGTTGATCAATTATTAAAAGTGGCCTGGTGGCAGCGCCGGGGAAAGAGAAGTTTGTTGAATAATTAGAGCTTAAATAAGGGGACGGAGGACTGGACAAAGAGACGCAGAGATAATTATCAGAATTGATTCTGATTTCTCATAAATATTGCACCATGTTGTCGTTCTATCTGGAAACACAGCCTGCAGTTAACATGTAATTTGGACTTATTCACTTCATGAGTCACACCTTTCATCAAACACACTCAGACCAGTTAGAGTTGTTCTGTCTCAATCACTATTTTAATTCTTCCAGTGTGATTAGCTGTAAACATGATCTTGCAGTTTGAGGTAATGACTAAATTGCCTAAATGAACCAAATGGACTGCATGGATGCACTGCCAAGCAGGCCTGCCAGGTGCTGGGCCACCAGGCCCCAGGTGACGTCTCACTGGACAATTATAGGGTTCAGTTAGAATTACACGAGTCTTGTTTTATTTTTTGTTGTTCGTTTTGTCGACAAATGTGCATAACCAACATGACACTGTGAGGTATGTGTGATTCCTCTGAGCTCCACTGTTGCCCAAAAAACTATTAGAACACATCAGCGTTACATTAGTTAGCATATGAACACACATTGTGGTTCTTTTAACTCAGTCCCACACTTCCTGTCCTGCTGCCTCCAATAGTCACTAAGCATAGATTCATCCGCCACTGAAAATAGTCCCCACAGCACTCTTTCCTTCTGTCTGAGTAGATCTACAGTGGCCAGAAGCTTTAAAAAATTACTGAGCTTTTCTTAAAAAAGATCTAACTATTTACGCCCCACGATGCCTTGCATGAACTGTGGACACAACTTCTGATAATTACATTCAGAGGCATCCAAGGCCGTAGCATTGAAAGTTTTATGAATAGCCCCGAATTTCTTCTTCTTTTTTTTGTTTTCCCAGTCAGGATCCACAGGCTGAGGGTGATAAAGAAGCAGACTCTGTTGCTAACTATTGCAGTTCAGTGCTTCTCACATTCGGTCACAAAACAAGTGATGCCAAGTATGAGAATAAAGGATTTCCAAGGCACAGCTTTACATGTAGCTTTGAAAATCAGAAACAGGATTCAAGATCCCAACAACTCCTCTGACCACATTCACTGAACCAGGGTCTGTCCGGGGAGGAGGCAGGTTTCTGTTGTTGTTTTTTACCTTAACAGTCAATATGATGTCTTTATATGCAAGACAACACATTCAGTGAACATTTCCACCTTAAAACTGCAGCGTACCAATGACATGGATTCAGACTTCTGGGATTTCGTACATAACAGGAACCGATCCAGTCAGCTCGCAGGATGGAGCTTTTTGTGTCATCCTTCAGAATCAGTTTCTGGTTCTAACTCGTATGACAGAATTACTCCAATATTACAACCTAATGCTGTAAAGCACAGAGTCGTTCTACAGTTAGAAATAAGCTGGTTGTGTTTGAGCTGCTGTGAGTGGAGAGAGAGAGACGTCATAGATCTGCATATTCTAGAGGAAGCAGCAGTGTGGGGTTTGGTCTATTTGACCATTGTGATGTAGGACGGAGGGTTTTTAAGAGTTTAATCCATGACTGGAGACAAAAGAAAAGCCTCAATATTCTGAGAAATATCCTTATTATCAATGTTATTTGGTAAATATGAAGCCACAGCCAGCTGTCATGGTTTAGAAAAAAAGACTGGAATGTGAAAACAGGTCGTCTGAATATGTCCAGAAGTAACTGAGTCCATGTGCAAGCATCTCCAAAACTCACTCATTACTCTGCTCGGCTGGTAATCAATCCCATGTAACGTGCAACTAAGAGCTGTGTTAATCTTCTCATTTCACTTTCTTAGCAAAAACAGGAATGAACTAATTTCCCAAAATGCTGAACTTTACAGGATGTGTTTCCACATCATTTATTTTTGCAAGAATCTTTAAAAAAAAAAAGAAAAAGAAAGAAAGCAGCTGTTACCTCCTGGTAAATGGTGCTTCACTGAAAGGATTCATGCACTGTGGGGTTAAGGTGTAAACATTCACCAGGAGCTTTATTAAATGTACCTCTGAAATCTGGCACAACAGCTCTGTCATGCATTCTGCTTTTATGAAGCGTCTACGTTTTCAGTTTTTACTGATCTGATAGCGCTGATGCGTTCAGATGGACATGGAGTCATGGAGTCATGGAGTCAGGGCGTCACAAGGCCCGTCCTGTCCAGTCGTTCACTGCTCAAGTCCAGCCCACCCACTGAGCTGCTCTGTAACCGAGGCAGCGTTCATTCATTCTGCTGCTCCACACTCAGCACATCACTGCTCCTCCAGCCTCTACAGATCGACAAATACCCCCCTCCTCCCCAACGCCCTCCTTTTCAAAGGTTTAATATCATAACTGTGGTTGTTCTGTGGGACTGTAGAACACAGATGGTTTCTAATTGTATGTAAAATCTATGCAAATTGGATTTTGTAAAATGAGGACCATTTAAGTTGGTCTCCTTGTTTTTGTGTTCACACTGTGTTCATTAGATCGTTGTGAATTTAAGTCTCTGCCGGAGGTTTGTGATCTCAGGGACTGTCTGTGTCATGGTTGCTCAGATTGTTCCAGAGTGTCACTCGAGCAGAGTCACCGCCAAACACAAACGCATGTGATCCCAGATAAATGGGTAAATCTGACAAAGTGTCC